GAGATTGAAAGACGACTTGGTTTTTTTTTTTTTTTTTACATTTAGGTCATTTAAGACAAACTTACACACACAACGCATACACAAAGACTCGAACCCAAGACCTCTTAGTTGGAAGCATAAGCTCTCAACCAACAGGCCAAGGAGAGCTGTGTGACGACTTGGGTTTCCCAAGAGCATAATTAATAATGATTTTATATTTATTTCATATTTTAATAAAATCTAATGGATACTAATTTGTACTATACTTACTTTCTCATCAATTTTCATCAAAAGATAGATGAATAAAAAGAGGTAGTGAATAAGTAATTAGTGAACCTGTTGGGAATTTTTTTGACCACATTTGAATTTGCCTATAATAGCACTATTTTTAAAAGTATCATGAAATCTCCATTGAAATAGTCTATGGTTACAACATCAAAAAACCCATTAACATTAGTGATGTTCCATCTCATGCTTTTACAAATTATGTATTTATATTTGCTAAAGACTTTATAAGCCTTAATGGAAATGAATGAAAATAAATTGCACAAAGTAACACTAAATGTGATGTGGTTATAAATACATCTAGAAATATAAAAAAGTACAAGGAGGGTGAATATGTGATATAAAAATCATAATTTAAAAGAATACCTCCAAATATAAGTGGTTTCATACAAGGGCTTGTATTCCTTTCAAAATCCTACAAAACTAGACCAAATGCTCACTTTCAAGAATCATCAAATTACATGCATATAAGTCATATGCTTAATGTTGCAAATTTGTTATCATTATGAGAAATTTTATAAAGGAATTTTGGGACTAATCATTTTGTAGGTGATTGAAGCAACTAAATACATGTAAACATCAAGCCCAATATTTTAGATGTGGAGAGCATAGTTTTAGATGAGACACCATGTGATGGAAGATGAGAGCACACATGTTTAGTTAGATGGAAGGACAAGCCACCATCTATGGACATATGGCTTACATTATAGTAACTTAAATTTTGATCTGGACCATGCTAAGGAATCCACAGACTTTAACTCATCAGGGAAGAGTTATTTTGGGTATGTGTGAGTTAATTTAGCACATCAAAGTCCTATTACTAGGTTTATGACAAAGGAATATTTATCATATCCTTATCTTTTATGAAGTTGTAATTTGTGTATAGTGACTAGACATTATTTTTTATTGTGAGTTTTTATTTGTAATTTGTATTATGAGGGCGTGAAAACAAAATTAGATATAATTTAATTTTTAAAGGTATTATGAAGCTAGAAGACACATTAGAGGAAATGAAGTTAACAAGTTTTCAAGGTGACTGGCTTTAGCTTCAAATTTTTACTTTTATTTGAAGGGGGTTTGGCTTGAGCCTACTATTAATGAATGCATGGGTCAAGGGCCATTCAAGGAGGGGTCAACAATTCATTTTATCCAAGAAAATGGCCACATCACTCCACTCTCCATAAATTACATATGTCTTCCTCTATTTTATGGGCATCCTCTAAGCCCACCAAAGCAACAAACAAAAGAATAAAACCCTTATAAACATTTTCATATAGCCATCATCCCAAATGAAGAACACTTGGACCTAGTCTAGTTCCTTACACTTTAACATCCTTTTAAACTCCAAACTCTACCATCAACTACAAATCAAAAGTTTAAATCATAAGCTAACCTTCCACCATCATTTATAGTCATTTATCTCATGTAAAGGATATTCAAAAGTGATCTTCCAAATCATCATAAACTATACTAGTCTTAGCATTTCCACTAATATACCCCTCTAAACCTTCATCATTCTACTATAAACTCTAGAACACTTTTAAAATATCAAACTAAATATACATGACATTTTAAACCTATTCATCTAACCAAAAGGCTACCCACCACCATCACTAACTCTAGAAAAAAAAAAAAAAAACTCATTTTCATGTAAAATATTTTTACCTTTTAAGGTATTCCATGAAAAGAGAAAAGCATGGTAACAATTGTAAATCAACTTTGACTTTTAGTTTTACATTCTCAAATCTTCACGAAATTAAAAATCTATGAGTAAGAGTATTTTATATATTTTTTTTATTCATATTATATTTTTGTTTAAGTTCTGTCCACATAAGGCTAAAGGTGGTACTTTTAATCATTATTAAGATGAAGGGTACAATTCTTCTTGAAGGAAGATAATGTAAAGACTTTTCAATTTGCATGGAGCAAAGGAGTTTTTCAAGAGATTGAGGAAACCCTAGTTGACTTTTGCACCGAGGCATGAATGTAGGCTTTAAGATTCAAAGAAAAATAAAAATCATCATATCTTCTAGTTGATCCATTTATGTTTATTTATTACTTTTATTTTACATTCTAACTAATCATCTCATTATTGCAAATTATTTACTTTATTTAAGGGCATAAGTTGTTTAAAATTTTAAAAAATAACCAAATCACCTTCTTTTTAGACCACTTATAGATGTTGACCTCACCTCTACCCCAAATAAAATGTAACCCTAGCGCCCAAAGTGACCTTTCAATATTTTTAACTTTTAGCAAAACAAAAAGAAAATCTTTTTTCATTGCATTTGGAATATAATCAAACAAACATCAATACTACATTCAATATTTTAATAATAAGTTCTCATTTTTATATTTGTAAATATGTGTGTGCAAACCCTTAAACACAAATTCAATGGAGCACACAAGTTTATACATATATTTTTGGGCAAGATATTTTATTTCCTATATTGTACATAGTTGTACTATACAACACTTTAATTCAATTTAAAGGTTGTTCAAAATTATTTAACATGTATTAAGATGAGCGCATTTAATTTTTATGGTATTTATTATATGTGTGTACAATCTTTAAAGTATAAGGGATGTACATATGTGCTTACAATCCTTTAAACTCAAATTCATGACAAATTAATCAACTTTTTATTACTTGTATTAAACTTCACACACTGTGTTTAACATTGTAAACATCTTCCCAATGGTTGAATAATACTTAATCTCCACCATGGTCAGACATTGATGGAACACTATTATTCAATTTACATGAAGAGGACAAATCTCCTGAAGTTTGGAAATCTCTTCATCATATTATGTTCTCCTTAACTTTGACTTAAGGGAAGAGTTGACATTGTCCTACTATGACCTCTCTGACCACTGTCACTCATCAACTACGTTTCTTTTGACCACTGTTGCCCGCCGACTACAATCCCTCTGACTATTGCCACCTCTGACTACGGTCCCTTCGACCTCTGTCTCCGACCGACTATGGTCGCCTCTGACCATTGTAGCCCATCAAATATGATCCTTCTGACCATCGTTGCCCACCAAATAGGTCCCCTTTAACCACTATTGCCCTTTGACTTCAGTCATTCCAACCACCGACGCCCGTCGACTACGATCCCCTCTGACCACTTTCACCAGCTGATTACAGCTCTTCGACCTCTGTCACTGGCCGATAATGGTCCAATATGATCATTATCACCTGCTGACTATGACTTGTCCCAACGACCTTCATTACTCTCCGACTATGACTACGAACCCTATGACCTTTTGTGGCCCACTGAATGGTCCCTCCGACCACCGTCACACACCGACTATGGTCCCTCCAACACCGTCACTCGCCGACTATGGTCCCTCCAACCACCGTCACTTGCTGACTATGATCCCCTTTGAACACTATCACCTGCTGACTACTGTCCCTCTAACCTCCGTCATCCATTTACTTACGATCCCTCTGATCTCTATCACCCGCCAACTACGATTACGGTTCATTCCAACCTCCATCTTCGACGACTACGATCCCTCTAAACACCTTCGCCTACTGACAACAGTCCACACCGACCTCCATTTCCCACCGACTATGGTCCCTTCGACCTCCGTCAACCACTAACTAAGGCCTCTTCGAGCTCTGTCGTTCATCGACTACGATCCACTTTGAACACAGTCGACTGCCGACTATGGCCCCATCAACCAAATGAGCAGGCTAACACTCTCCTAAGAACAACTCTTATGTCACTGTATTCTTTCAAAGTTAACTATGTATTGTGATTTTCACATTGAACCAACACCTTCCCCTAAGGAAGGACATGACGTGTAATCAACCACAAATACTAATGGGACCATTTTAACTTAGCACGACCACGTGATTTTCCCCCTTTAAAGTGATTTATATGTAAAAAATTTGGCGTGTCTTATCAATACTGCACCCCTCTCTTTTATTTATTTGTGTGTTGGATTTTCGTACAAACTAAGACGTTAAGCTCTCAATCTTTCTATCGCCTCGAATGTTCCATGACGCAATAATAATAAATAAAAATTACACATCATGTGCACACCTATATATACGTTTTTATGATAAATTCTTTCATCTATTTATATTATAAATTATGTCCAATCTTGTTAAAAAAATTTGGACTTTAGATTACAGATGATGAAAGAACTTGCTCTAAGTGGGTACAACCAACAAATAAATGGGCTTGCTTTTGGAATCCAAATTTAATATTATAAAACATGTCCAAGCACATAATTTGATTTTGCCAAAACGAAGAAAGCATTAAAAAATAACAAATACTATTTACATAATTTCAAAATAGCTTGTAAAAAAGAAAATTTTCAGGCTTCTTTACAAAAATCTTAGATAAGAACATTTTTTTTTTGCAATTTCACAACATTTTACATTAAAAGAAGTATTCTGTTTTATGAAAAAAAAAAAAACAGAACTATTAAAAAATTCATCTTGAAAAATATGTAAATTTCAAACTTCTGTACATTCGTCTTAAGAAAAAAAAACTCTGGCTCTTGATATTCTCATCTAATATTTTACTAAAAGAATTTTTTAATTATTATATTTTTATGTAATAAGTGCAAGAAAAAATAAATTTATATTTCTATTTTTTGCCACAATTATTTCATAATGCCAAATTTTCCAATTTTACAGCTTTTTACTCCCTTTTTAAAAAATAAATATGAAATGAGTTCGTAAGTGTGTGGAGAGATCTTTCGAGGCAAGATATGGAGAAACACTTCTTCTGGTCTCTCGCTCGTCGTTTCTGCAATCTATGAGGTGATGGCGCAGCGGCTGATGAGCTCTGGCAAGTCGATTTTTCGAGCGTTGAATCTGAATCATTTGGGCGGCGGCGCTGCTGAAAGCCGTCCGTTCATTCGTGCCCTCGCGCCCGCCAATCTGAAAAGGAAGGCCTCCAACTCATTTTCCGCGATTCAGGACACCTATTTTTCTACTAAGGTCTTCTCTTTTTCGGCTTTTGTAATCTTTTCCCAATTTATATGGTTTTGATTGATCGTCACGGGCTATTCTATTAGTTGCTAGAATCTTTTTGCTCCCAATTTTTGAATTCTGGCGTCTTGTTGATATTTCGAATTGCTTGGTAGCATTGATGTATGTTCTGTTAGGGTAGCCTGTTATCTTATATGTTTGGATTTTTAACATTTGTGGATTTCTTGCCTTGTAGTTTATCCTGTGAGTTTGTAATAGTTGTGTTGATTAACATGGTTGGGTGGAATTGTGCTCCTTTCTGATTAATTGTGTTAAAGTCTCGATAAAGTTTAGAGAGGATTGATGCCTCTTATGTCGTGAAAAAACTCGATTGTTGCTTTAGATTTGATGCTTGTGTTTGAGCGGTTGGGGAATATTACACGGAGGGCTTTCTTTGCTAATTCACTGTGCAGCCACCTTAGTAGAAGATGAAGAGATACGTGAATGGAAGAAGGATACACTGTATAAGAAGGGAGTAGAATTGCCTTAACTCTTTTCACCGTGCTTTTCTCCAACATACCTTTTCCCAAAAAACCCTATGTGAGTGAATTAGGTTTTTCACCAGGAACAATCACCTAACTGCTTCCTAGGGTGTAAACTACCAACCACTAGTTTTGGCTCTGATCATGGCTTGTAGATTGGTATTACTTCAACAATCTTTTTGAAGTGACCGACCATTTGATGTTTTTTAATGGTGAATTGCAGTTTGATCCTTTGTGTTTAAAAACAAGTTTTTTTCTTTAAGTTCCTTTTTTTTTGGACTATGATCTCCTTGAGCTGGAAAAATGATAAATTTAGTCAATTCCTTCGTAACATTATAAAAAAAAAGAGAGACAAAGATATTCATATGTAAATTTCATTTCACTATCTAAAGAAGTTTAATTTTGATCTATCATATGAGTACACCCATTAGTGCTATTAGCTGTGGCGCAAGGCTCTATTCATCTTTAGTCCCTGGCACCACTATGAGATGCTTAGTAGTTGGATGCTTTACTTTAGCTTGACTGTTGCAGGCCACACAAATTCGAGGAAGGAGAGATCTAGAAAAATATTTAGTGTTACATGCCGAAATGAGATCTGAATGAATTGTAAAAATAATTGAGGAGAACCACAAAATTGGTGGAAAAAAATAAGGAACAGCTGAATTAGAGGAAAAAGCTATGGAAATTAGTACGGGATGGTGATGAATGCTTTAATACGAGCCATTTAAGTTTGATAAAACGGCTAAAAAAGGAGGATTGAAGGTTTCAAACCTAGATCTTCCATTTTTTTTTTCACAAATAACATTGTCATAACCTAGTTTAGTTGGCCTTTTTTTTTTTAAAATATGGCTAAACTAAATTATATATGAATTACTAATAAATTATATCTAAAAATATTTATTTTCAATCAATTACTAATAAATTTTTTTTTTAGTCTTATCAAGCTAATCCACCTATGGCTTGCAATCAGATTGAAAATAAGTCTGATTCAAATGTTTAGCTCATGGATTAACTCATTTGTTCCTAGCAGAGCTCTGTCCGAGTGAAAACTTAGACTGATTTTCAAGTGATCTGCAATCTTTGAACTAAGCTCTCAGCCATATTTAGTGGTCCTATTAATAAAGTAGACCAAACTGTGCAAGCTTGGTAGAAACATATTAGAGCAAAATAAAATTGCGGCATCTAACTGAGGATTTTCTCAAGTTTGAATAAAGAAATTGTAATTTACCATGTTTTTTCATTGTAATGGTGTTTGGTATTGTTTGTAGTGTGAGTTGATGCAGATAATTGCATTTATGTTTTTGGCCGTTAGTTCCTTTGTTAACTGTTAGGCATTTTCCAATTTTTCTTGCAATGCTTCTCTGTAATGTTTAAGTTTTTTTAAAAGTGAAGTTAAAGACCTTTTTCTATATTATATTATGCTATTTCATTATTCTTTTGTCATATTTGTAGGAAGTCTTTGAGAGCCATCGGGTTGTTTTCACTATTGGTACATCAATAGCATCAATATTGACTGCATGGGCAGGTCAGTAGTATTCTGTATATATATGTATATTATGGAATGCTCTCATTTTACATGGATTCTTGACTTGCTGGTGAAGAATTGAACGGCTCCAATAAGCATATTCGTAAAACTTTTTGCAGTTAGATTATTCCTAGTCATCAAGCATGCATTCATTACTCCCTTGCTCACATTAAAAGACGCTCCAGCTGCCATCCACGTCTCCTTTTTCTACATTCCTCATATGACTCATTATCATCAAACTTTTGTTCAAGTAAGATGATAAAGTTTCAAATTGTTAATTCATGTTAATCATATTTAATTGGTAATTGGTTTGATGGAAATTGATGATCTAGCTCTATAGAAAATTGTTAAAATGTTTGAGAATAAATATGAAGTGGTGAGACAATAGAAACTTACTATAGGGTAAATGGAACATGTGCTGATCTTATAACCATGCGTTACACATTTATTATTTCATATTCTTTAATCTTATCCAAATTCTTTTATGCTGGCTTTATGATTCATCATCCATTCATTCTTGTTTAGTACATCGGACTCTAATTTATACATAATCTTATATAATTTACTGCCATTTTACCAATAGTCTGCACCTTTTTTTTGCCTAACATATACCCATCATATTAGCACAACCTCTGTCCTCTATTGTTTATGTCTAAGCTTAGTTTAATTATTTTTTCTATCTGACATAAGATATTTTTCCACCAATTCTCTGCTGTTTCTTACTCAATCCTTATTAGATTTACTGCACATCCTTTGTCATACTCAACTTGTGACTTTCTTTAGTGTTCATACATAGATTTATACAGCATAGCCAGTTTAAGAGAATATTATAATATCTATGTTTAGGTTTCCATTTTTTTATCTTATTGCATAGGTCTTGTGATGATTCTCAATTTTAGTCACCTAACTTTAATTCTTGAAGGTATATTATCTTTTTTATTTATTATTATTTTGATTAATAAAATCAAAAGTCTTACTTATAGCCTATGATGCATGGACACGGACACGACACAGACACGGCACGACATGGACATGGGACACGGCTTTTTTTTGAAAATATAGGATACCGGTACGACGCGGACACGGTATTATATTTTTTTATATAGTGTATAGATATTAATGTAACATCATATTAAAAATGACAAATAATAATAAATGAATGACATGATAATTTGTCTAACTTATAATATAAAATATTTAGTATAAAATATCTAGTACAACCACAAAATATAAACAAATAACCACTTACTACAACATCAAGCATTCAATCTTCAAATACTAGGATTAGCTTAAGAGATTTGTTTTTGGCCTTTAATATCATCATCATTGAATATCATTGCTTTCAACTCTGGTTCATCAAAAAAAAGATTTGCAATAGTTCATTCGATATCTTTTCTTTGTATATATTTACTTTTTTTGTTCGCTAGTTCTCTCCCATAATATTTCTTTATCCTTTAATCTAAATCACAAAGAATGTATCTATTTACTTATATACTTCTCTAGTTCTCTCTCATAATAGTTCATTAGATATCATATATTTATAATTAAAATGATTATATCATAAAAAATTAGGATACGAGGGTCGCTTGTGGCCGACATGTGTCCCAGCCGTGTCTGAAACATGTCCCAGTCGTGTCGGGTTAAATTTAAACATTATTTTAATCGGACACGTGTCTGTTTTGTCCGACACGTGTCCGACACTACATTCTCTCTTTAAGAGGTGTGTCGGTGCATCATAGCTGATAGCATCTTAGGATAATTTATTTTTTTAACAACATTGATTGCTAGGAACCTAATTAAATAGTGGGATAAAGGCTTGTTGTTGTTGTAGTATTGATTGATAGGAACCTAATTAAATATTCAATAGAATTTTGCATCATGCACTCTCTCTGCTTAATTAATCTTAGGCCCCATATCATGTAATAATTTTTTGAATTACAAATTTTTTCACTATAGCAGAGGACTTAGTGCGATTCTTAAGACATCTTACTAAGATTGGAAACTCTTTGCCCTCATCAAATAAAATCTAGTGGCAATTGGTGATATGCATTTTCATGATTAATAAAAATCTTATAAAGATTTTTTTCATTCTCGGTATTTTTTCGATAGTTATCTATAATTTCCTCCATAATAGATCCTTTTATTGCAAACCAAATTGCTATTTCTATGTTGACAGGGTTATTCTTAGCCTTTGTTTCCTCCTTTTCCATGACTTTATTTTATGATTCTGATAGGAAATACTTGTGTTCGCAAGTAACCCTAAGGTAATACTTGAGTTCGCAAGCAAACCTAACCCAAATCGGTGAACAAACAGGGAAGATATTGCTGTCCAGAACAGAAAACAGCCGAAATCTGCTGTTTACAGCAGAAAGAAAGCACCAATCCAGAGAAATTCTGAGAGAAAACTCAAAGGAAAGCTTGTATTTCACTAGTAGATGAATTAAACAGCAAAGATACAATTGATCCTCAATTCGAGAGGAGGATCGATCTCTCCCAAATCTCTGGCAACGCCAAGAGCCCAAAGAAACCTAAATCTAAGAGATCTCAAATTTCAGCCAAATTCCAGATCCTCAAACCCTAAGAAAATCAACTATTTAATGCATACAAATCAAAAGGAAATCCCTAAACAGTCCCTACATTCAAATTTCTCTCTCAAAACCCTAAAAAACGCTTCCTAAAATGCTCCCGCAAGGCGAGCGGCTAGCGCGGCCTCCGCCAGGCGGAAAACTTCCGCCGTTCGTGTCTCGGCCGGTCCCGCGTGGACCGGCTGGACCGGTCTAACAGACTCATAAGTTTAATTTTTTACTATAATTATGATAATATTGAACTTCTTTATTTGTCTTCAAAGATTTGTAATGATAAGCTTCTTCAGCAAGCTTAAGTGTCTCTCAATCCTTAGAATTTTACAAAATTATTTGCTAACCAAATCAGTCAAAATTTCCTATAAATGCCAAACTTCTTTATCTTTTTGTATATCTTTCTTAAAGTTAACTCAATTTCTTTTTTTAGATCAATTTATAATTCCTTTCATGATCTTGTTCATGTTGCCCTTGCAAGCATAATTTCTTAAATTTTTTGGTTAATATTTTGTCATTATGACGTTTTCATTTTTTTTTCTTTTATTGATATCTTATTGTTTTCATTTTAATGCTTCTATCTTATTTTCATTATTGAGATCTTATTGCCAAGCTTCTCCAGTTTTCAAGTGACTCCAAATTTTCATTATGATTTTATAAGAAGGTTAAATGAACAATTGGGCTCTATTTTCGGTATCTTCTTCTTGGTTGATTTCTAGCTCATTGCTTGTCTTTGTTTAGGCTTTTATAAACTTGCTAGCATTGTATTGTCATAAGTTTAGGCTCATAAATTGATTTCTTTTATGATAAGGGTAAAATTTTTAGGTTTCTTTTTGCTATACATAGTTTTTAAATAGGTTCAAATTCCAAATTGATTTACAGGTTATTCTTTGCGCCAGCATCATCATTCAAATGTAGAAAGGAGGCTCGAGTCAATTGAAAAAGCGGTGAGTGCTGGCTTAAATTTGTCAACTTTGTTAACTCCTTTTTTTATGAATATATTAAATTTACTATTAAACAACTTATACTATCCTTCGGTTTTGTCACTGAATATTGAACCATAGAACTGCCTTGTGAATAGTAGCATAGCCAAGACTTGGTGTTGGTGGTTTGATGGAGGTAATGAGCGGTGGAACTGGACGAATTGCTAAGTAAATAATATTCATATTGAATATAGCATAAGGCAAATAATTTTTTAAATTGTAGTAATAATTGGCAATAAAATTAGGTAAAGTCTTAGTGATGGATGTAAGTGTTTCGTTAGGAGTTTTGGAAGGCTAACTGTCATTAAACAGAAGATGAGAATGAAAGGAAAAAAAATTATCGATGGAGGATGTGATATTAAAGCACGAAATTGATACAAAGATATATAATCAACAATTAATTGTGGTTCCTCATAAAGAATGATGTTACAGTTTTGATCAGTAAATTGTATGGTGAGGTCTTAGTAATTATGTAAAACTGAGCCTAAAACAATATCAACCCCTTTCATAGACAGAATAAATAAATCTAAAATGACTAGATACCCTTGTACGTTTATTGAAACTTGAAACATTTTGAATTGCAAAGAAGTAAATTGTCATTGCCATCGGAAATATCAAATTGTTTAATTGGTTCGGGGTGAAAGTCAAGTTGGGTAATGATGTTATCTTGAATAAAGTTATGAGTGCTACTGCTATCAATCAAAATATAGACATTATGCTTATTAATATGGTCGGTTAAACGAAAAGAACGTGTATTAAATTGTCTGGCTAGAGCATTTAAATTTATTTCCGAAATAATCTTGTGAATCAAGGTCATTAGAAGAATGTTGGTTATCATCTGTCGTGTCAGAATCATCAATGTCCATCAAAAGATAAAATTTATTAGAGCAACTGTGTTGAGGGCTAAACTTTGAATCACAATTAAAACAAAAGTCTTTCTCATGAAGAAATTGAATTTACAAAAGGGAAAGCTTGTGGATGGGTAGATTGGGGAGTTTTGAGGAGGAATTTGGTGGGAAGTGTGGGTAGATGCTTGGCCTATAGGCATAGAGGGGTGGGTAGCTTTGTTTGGGATGAGGGGTGGAAATGATTTTTGCCAGTGTGATAAGGAAGTGCTAGAAAATCTTGAAATTTGAATTCGTGACGGTGAGCTTAATCCATGGCATCTAAAAGAGTAATGAGTTTGGCTAATAAGAGCTCTCTACGCAATTCTTGTTTGAAACTAGATATGAAATAACTAATAAGAGTATATTCTGAAAGATTTGGAATTTTAAATGCAAGGTTTTCAAAAATTGTTTGGTATTCAAGAATAGATGCTTGCCAAGTTATTTAAATAAATAATCATGTAAATCTTTATAGGAAAAGATGCTAAACCGTTGTTATAATGCTATCCTGAATTCGGGCCAAGGAGTTTGGCCTTTCATGCGAATCCATTGATTATACCATGTAGTCGCGGATCCTTCAAGATGAAATGAGCAATTCTTACACGGTGGTAATATGAAATATTATGAAAATCGAAATATACTTGTGGTTTAAAGATCCAAGTTTCCACATCAGATCTGTTAAAACGAAGAAGTTCATTTTTAATATATTTAAGAAAAGGTAAACCTGCTTTGGCCGAAGAGTATTGAGGAGATGGAAATTGGGTAGTCGATCCCAGATTCTCGGTGGATGGTGGAGGTACTTGATGAGAAGAAGGTGGACGGTCCACATAGAGGCTGTCAAGATGCTTGTCAACGGAGTCAATAAAGCCTTGAAATTGTTGTAATGTTGTCCCGATAAAAGCAAATTGAGCACATGCTTGTTGTAAATATTTTTGAATTTTCAAAAATTGTGACTCATGAGTGGACTGCATGGTACGTAATGCTTTGGACAAGTCTTCATTCTTCATTTTGAATGAAGAATTAAAGAATCTAGATGGCAGACAAAATATTTAATTTCTTGAAAAGAAAATTTCAGTTCTTGAAAGTAAAAACAATAAAGAAAAAGTAGGTGTGAAGATTTTGATCCTCAGGAGTGCGTGGGTTGCTGAAGCTTTGCTGTCATATGAAGTTGGGTTTGCCAAGGATTGGCCAACTACACTCTAAGCGGAGTTGGCTGGTCTTGGGTGTGCGGGCAACTGCAACCAAGCGATCTGCTTCTTGCGGCATGTGAGGGGCTGCTTCTTGCGGTAGGTTATGGAAACCTGTTGTTTGCGGTCAGGGGATTGGCTTGTGGGGTGAGCTGGTGGAGGGAGATGATGGGCCATTGATTTTACTTTGGTTTTGGATGGACGGAGGAGTGAGGTCTCAACAAGAGCACCAATTTTATGTGCTTCTTGATTGAATCAAGAAGGATATGATACCGTTTGAGTAGGTGGAGACTCCTAAAGGAAGAAGAGGAAAAAGAAAACAAGAGGGACAGAAAAATAAAATTTCTTTTCCATAACTTCAATTACAACAAGGGGTTTATTTATAGGTTTATACAAGTGAAAAGAAAGGGGGTTAGCTGTCTAAAATAATAATAAACTTGTTTACAAAAATAAGCCTAGTGTTATAGGTTTATTTCTAATAAAACCATAAGTTGGTACAGTCCTTAGACCGTTTTTTTTACCATGTTTACACTATAAACTTTGAATTGTTGTCTTGTTGGAATTTTTATACTCTTGAACTTATTCTTCTGATTTATGGATCCAATATTCTTCTTGTTTTTTATTGTTTGCATCCAAAGGAATGTATTGGTGCTTAACAATTACACAACAATCCAACAAAATGTTTCTAATTGGCAAAAAGATGTTAGCGATTTGCCTTTATTTTTTGTCCCTTTTAGCTTCTTTTAACAAATCAACAAGCATTCCTTTTTAATCATCATTAGCAAATCCTTCGTATTTTTTATTGATCTTGAACAATATTCTCTCTTCTCCTTTTCGTTGGCATTAAACTCCAATGCATTTTTTGTTTCCTCTTCAACTTTGGACTTATTTCAATCTGCACAACTAAATTTCAACATCAATTTATCCATTACCACCATTCTTGATCCTAATACAAGTTTAATTTTAGTGAATGGTGCTACAAAAAATTTTTATAGTAGTGATTATGTTAGAAAAGTAATAAAAGTAAAGAAGATATTATTTTCATTATGTAGAAATTATTCCAAAGAAAATTTTACTTCATTTTTTCTTATCCACGTGCCTTAAAAATCTCTCAAGGAGTTCTTGATGTGAAACAATGATGATGAACAAGAATTGCTTTTAAGAAATTAATAAAATGCAAACTTTTATTGGCTAAAAATAAACGGATGCTTTTCAAGTTAGATCTTAGAAAATTCTATGAAAGGACTAAGTATTGGAAAGCGATTACAATAGAGATTACTAGGATACTTGCAAAACAACAATATCATAAATGAATAAGCTAATGACGAAGTTAACATGAATCCACAGTTTAATAAGTTGATCATTCACCTTGGGTAATCTCTCACTCACACTCATAATTGGAGTTCTTTTAGCGGAAGAAGGTTGCAAGCAAACTTAGAGACACCACTAGAAGACATGCGATGCCAAGGGTGCTAATCGCCGAGGAAGGAGTCAGAGTTGGAGGAATGGGTGGTCGTCCGGTGATCTTCCACTCTCCAATAGGTCTTTGTTCGTCGATGACGTCTGCTAAGTGGAAGAGGATACGATCAACATATTCCTTGACGATGCTTCAGATCCAAATCCAGGATCAAAGAATGGTGATTAGATGACGTCAATGTCCACTTGAGAATTGAGAATAAGCCCGTGATCAACTTCCAGATCGGTCATACATGCTTGCCGTGAGATATGAGAGAGTACAAGTGGGGAAGAAGTGGGAGAGGAGGTGGCAGGTAGAAAGGGAGGCCGGTGGCTTGGGTAGAGGGGAGGAGGTTGGGACGGCGTGAGGAAGAGAGGGGGGGGGACGGCTAGGGTTGAGTTAGAAAACGTTGGGATTATATAACCTGAATTTAATTTCAGGTTAAGTGAAATTGGAGGGAATCACTTTGAAATTAAATTCAAATTTCAAATAGGGCTTGGGCTTTGATGGGAAAATATTAAAGAGGGGGGAGAGGGGGAGCAGGCCAGGGCGAGCAATCTAGTGGAGAGGGAGATTTTGGGGGGGGGGGGGGGGGAAGGGGGAGTTTTAATGCTTCCTAATGAGTTAGCTAATTAAGGAATAAGAATATTAATCCATCTAATTAAAAATTTGAATTAGAATTGGATTAAAAATATTTCCATAATTAGAAATGGCACAATAAAGGTAAATGTAATGAATGAGGGTTTTGAATTTTGAAATTCAAATTTCATGGAAGCTTGGGGAGAGGCCGGCGGCTAGAGGGGCCAAAGGGAAGGGGCGGCTATGTGGGGTGGCCGAGTGGGGAGGGGGGTTCGGTAGGGGAAATTAAGGGAGAGGGTGGTGGTAGGGGGGAGAGAGTAAGAAATAGATAATGGTAAAGACTAACCGAGAGCTCGGAATCCACCGGTTGCTGTCGGGTATTTGCATATACCTCTCCTAAGGTTCTCTCCACTCAAGAGCTCACAACTTGAGCATGAAAAAAGTCTGAAATTTTACTCAATAATCATCATCCATAACAATGCAAGAGGCACTCCTATAAATTAGGCCTAAATGAAGAAAACAGAAAAGACCTAAAGTGCCTCCGGGCTACAACATAGACTCACTTCCCATGGGGTAAAATGAGAAAACTTAAATGAAACATAAAACATAAAAACAAAATTACATCAAAAATACAGACTCTATAATCATAGCCGTCGATCCACGACTATGTCGACGATGCACATGTTGAAATCTCTAACTGATGTCCTCATCAATTCTACTACAAATGTTATCTGTTCTCATTTTTCAGGTTTTTTCAAGTATTTCATTAGAACATTTCATATTTTACTTTCTTTCTTAATACATTACCTTAAAAAAAGAAATCCAAGTTCATACCTTCTATGATTCTTTTGATGATGACAGCAGAATCAGATTGTGAAAATCAAATCGAAAGAAAGAGGTTCACGGAACTTGATGATGTAATAATAATAAATATTATTAAAAATTATAAAATTAATATATAATATGACAATCTAACCTTAAACTTAAATACAAACCCATCCTATCTTACACATAAATTATGCAAATTAAGAATGAGTTGGAAGTTTAAAATTACACTTTCTAAATAATATAATTCATATTTAATGTAAAATTAGTTTACATATATATTTTTAAATTTAATATATATAATTTCTAATTTATGTTATATATTTAAATATAATTTGTACCTATGGAAAGTATATAAAATTTACATTATAAAATTATATCTATAAATTTTATTTATTATTAGAAAATAGATAAAAACTAAAATAAATTAATTTTTTATATTATATAATTAAATAAAATGAAAAAAATAATAGATAAAAATTAAATATTATTTGTACTATGAAATTTTAATTAAAAAATATATGTAAAGATATGTAGTGTATGTATAGTAAACTAGAGAGCTTCACCTTGATTTTTCAGTATCACATCACCTAGATACTATATTTTAGCATTATTTTTGTCAGTATAAGCTTTTTGATTCACCTGGGAAAAGAAGTCACATGGATAGTTTATTTGTCTTTTTTGTTTTTTTTTTTAAATTTTTTTTTAATTAAGCATTATTAGTCTATTTTTATTAGTCTATTGTTGCATTAGGTATTTTGGCCCATCTAGGGTTATGATAGGAAAACTTGTAGATCTCAAGTATTTTCTATCAAACTTCAGAGAACAGCGAGAATTCTTCACAAAAATCCATATAAAATCACAAAAAATAGTAGATAATTGGTATTATTTGATGAAAGGAACACGAAAAATAGCAAGATACACTTGATCCTCAATTTGAGAGGAGGATCGATCTATCATAAATCTCTAGACGCCACTAGAGCCCAAAGAAAACCTAAATCTAAGAGATCTCAAATTTCAACCAAATTCAAGATCCCCAAACCCTAGGAAAACAAACTATTTAATGCATACAAATCAAAAGGAATTCCCTAAACAATCCTTAAATTTAAATTTCCCTCTTAATTCCCCAAAATATCTTTCCTATTTGGCTCCCGCATGGTGTGCAGCTCGCTCGGCATCCCAGCGGGCGGAAAATTTCCGCCCTGTTCGCGTCTGAGCCGGTCCTGCGTGGACCGGCTGGATCGGTCCACTGGACCGGTCTAATAGGTTCATCCGTCTCTCTAAAATTTGAAGCAATTCGTTTAAATTAATTATGCATATATTTTTGTAATTTTCAAAATAAGTTGTATTTATCCCTCATAAAAACTTGATGGAAGATGGGAGCGTTACCGTAGGTCCTACAGTTGACCACTTCTATTTTTAAAGTCGACTAAGTCATAAATTTATTTTCGTAGTTCAAATTTGACTTTGAATCATCAAATTTATTATTTTAGCATCCATATTCAAAGAAATAGTAACCATAACTATTATTTAAATAACCGCATCCAGAACAATAGAAATTAGGTTCATAGTTTGAACTAAAAAGTTTTATTTTCTTAGTCGATGAAAAAAAAATTGATGATCAATACTAAATAGTTATAATAATTCATCCTAGAAGATATCATTAAAAAATTACCATCAAAAGGATATATATACTAATTTGGCAGTTGATGGAATGGGTCTAACGAAACATCAAAATATAGTCTATTTGTCTTTTTGGATCTACTTCGATTATCCTAGGCCTATTTTAATGGTTTGCTTGAAACCCAATTTACTTAATCAGAAGACATCTTTTTTTTTTTTTTGCACAAATCTTAAAATAAAAAAATTGCTATCAATAATTTCCATGGCATTTTCAAAACATTATTTTACAATGTTAATTCATAGCCTACATTTCATTGACAAACATATATTTTATTTATCTTTTTTAAACTTAACTTTTTTTATTGTATTAAATTTAATTGTTTCCTACAAAGATTTATAATTTGTCATGGTAATGCTAATTTTTTTCCTTATTTCAAAAAATTATATATTTTATTTATCTTTTAAAATATAGAGATATTTTTTATTTAATAAAATTAAATGTTTATCAATTTGTATAAAATTGTATTTCATATTGTTGGAATTGTTCAAAAATCAGTTGCTCTAACAAAATGAATTAGTTTTGCAGGGTTAATGTTTCAGCCTAGATCTATGTAAAATTTTTTATAATTTCTGTGTTATTTAATAAATTTTATCTCTCACTAATTGCCAATAAAGAATATAAATTATTTATTTAGATTAACTTTTTTTATAAAAAATGCGATATTAAAATCGATTTGATTGTTGATAGGAGGAGGTACACGCATGCATGAATTTACTGTAAAACTTTGCAACATGACTAATCTTTTGTGGAGTGACTATGTGAAAACAGTCACGATGGCTTTCCAAATTCCAAACTAATCATATCCTATAATTAAATATTTAAATATGCTAATAATTTTTTTATGTGCAAACTATATTTAGATAATAAAAGAAAATATTATATATTTCCATTGTTTATTATAAAAATTTTATGTTTTTCTCACTCCATGTATTTGCATGGGATAAATTGCTAGCATAAAGATTGATATTTAATGTTTTTGGGTTAGGTGATTCATGTCATCTTTAATATTGCATCAAACCTATATCTGTGCTGTTCGAAATAAAAATTCCAACCTTTGTTTTTTAAATTGCCCTCGCCACCTGTCTACCATTTTTTTACCCTCACCAAACATGGTCTTCTTGTTCTTGGTCTACTTTTCTTTAGGCTTTCAATTTTACTGACCAACTCTTCTTTGATCTCCCAGTTCTTTCATTAAAGGAAGAGAAAATAAAAGAGGAAGTCCCAAAACCCTACTCTCCCCCTTTTTCTCGTTCCCCCAGTTCCTCGCTTTATATAATATGTTCACACTGCATAAAAATGTGTAATTACTGTGATTTCAATCGAAATGTTTATGCCAGCACTTGTTTCCCTAAAAATAATTTAATTAAGTAATTTATTTCTATGAATGATAATTTGATTGTTTTTACTTTTTAGACAGCTTGCCAAATCTAATACATTTCAAGTGGTGATTAAGAGTGTTCATGGAAATAAATGTTTTATCATGCAATTTAAGGCATCATGTGGCAGTGTTGTCTGGTGTTGTAGTGTTGTGTTGTGATGTCAAGTAGATTAATGTTTGGTAAATGTTAGTTTTGCTTTCTAAACTGTTGGAATTTATGAATTTGGTTCGTTAAAATAATTGTGAATTAAATCAAATTGGTTAAATCACAAAGATAAACATTATTAATTATTAAAAAATGTTATCAATCATATTTAATTTAAAAATAATTAAAATTATGTATCTATGAATAAAATTTAAATTAGAATACTAATTAAAATTATAGAATAATTTATATAGAAATAAGAAATAATTTTTAATAAAGAAAAAAAAATCTGTAGAGTCATCCATCAAAATCATCTACTATAATAATTGAGTAAAAAAAATTATGATAATTGAGTATGTAATGAGGATTTTGTGGTCATACTAAAAATATATTAGAAAAGATTTGTTTTGAAAATATTAGAAATGATCTTTTTTTATTAGATTTAAATGAGAATTTTACACTTAACATGTTACAATGGAAAAAAAAAAAGATTCATGTAGCTGAGGCTTAAATGTCTTATCGATAAATATTTTGACCAGTGATAATACATGTCTTTGCTAGTTGTAATAATTGATTTTGGTTAGTATTTTAAAAGGGAGGCGATGGTGCTTTTGAATGTTTTAATTTAAATTCATATCACTAAGGTTTCCCTACACCATCTACCCTCATTTTTTCTTTTTCTTTTTCTTTTGTGGTGATTTGGTGTTGAATGTGAGGATAATAGGATGGGGCTGAAAAAGATAGTGGGAGACTGGGAGGGAAGAAAAGGCTATTTTTGACTTTCATTCTCTAGAAGTTTGACTTTTGACTTGAATGGTTCCTTCTGTAAATATAACTGGCACCTGAAAATTTTTATAGATTTTGATAAATATGGTCCCTCTCTCTCTCTCTCTCTCAACCATTTACTAATTTTATCTTATCATAAATTTGAAAATACACGACATGACCTATAAGATAGAAAGGGACTTGATTTTCACAATCTGTGATTATATGGTCATTACATGTATGTCTCAATATTTCTCATTTATTTATTTTATTTTTTTCCCTGGGCATGATCTTTAGGATCAATTTGGTAATAATGCTTATGTTGCTTATTGCTTGAACAATAGAAATACTTTCAGGGCGTCTGCTTTAGTTGTAAGAAAGAAATTAGATGCATAAATCAGTAAAGACAAACTTTTTTTATAATGTGTTTAGATAGATTCATAGAAAAATACTTCTATGAAGTTTATATATTCTATTTCATAAAAAATAATTTTATTTAATTATAGGCTGATTAAAATTACTTTCATATTAAGTTATATACGATTCATAACAATATTTATTTCAGTTGCTCAATCCCTCATATCAGTTTCTTGGTAATTTGTTAAAAAACACCTATAATTTTTCCGACTTCAGATAATAATCCCTCATATTATGATTTTTTTTTAACAATGCTAAACAGAGCCCTAGATGATTTTTTGTAAGAACACTTTTTATATCTTCCTTCTCTACATTGCATTGTTGTCGGATCATGAAAATGATCTCAAATTGTTATTTGTTTTTATAAATTCTGTTTCATCTCAGGTCTATGTTTAATAGGGCCATATTTTCTTATGAACAGATGATGAAAAACTACAATGTTGAACGCGAAGAAATCAAAAGAATTGTCGGTGCAGACAATGTTAGCACCACAGCTTGCATTGCCACTGCTGGGACTTCCTTGATTGTTGGGTTTGTTTCATCTTTATAGTAACTCTTTGAGCTTTACTTCTTTTTATCCTGTTTTTGTGAATCATCCCCATTATGAATTACGTTTGAGGTTAATTCTGGATTTGCTAAATCTACAGCAACAAGTGTTACAATTTGCTAAATTTATTTTCTTGAAGGATGTTGGGTTTGTTACAAAGCCCTATATAGAGTCCTGGTTGGGTACCCATGCTTTACTCAGACGGGCTTAGCCCACCCACGCCCACCCATTGTGACTTTCGGGATGCTTTACCCACCTATACCCACTCACTTTCCATATTTTTTGAACACAGTCTACCACTGATTGATGGCCTTGAGGCTTGTTGCCCTTTGCTCTGATTGCAAACTTTTCTACCCGCATATCAAAATTTATCGCAGTCGCAACATGGTTAAGTGATGCATACTACGCAGTAAGGATTGTAGTAATATAAGATATACAGTGATTAGCAATGTAAATTGATTTATCCCCCGATGTTGAGTACCCACCCATATCCACCCACAATGTCATTGGCATACCCATGTACCCACCCATACCCAATGTCATGGGCATACCCATACCCACTCATGGGTGGGTACATGGGTGGGTGTGGGTATGGGTACCCAATGCAGGGCTTTGGTTTGTTACCTGCATTATCATTATTTCCGATTCCTAATCTGCATCTATAAACGATTGTTCTTAGCTTATAATAGCTTACTATAGCAGTTTTTTCTTATAAAAAGGCAGCTAAAGTTCATGTTATACTAAAGCTTATTTGTTTTGCACAATTTCAAAGCAGATATGGACTTGGCTGGCGAGGTGGTTTGTGGTTTGCGAACAGAAAATTTAGAAGGGAGCAGCTCAAACAACTGGGCCAAGTGAAATCTCGTGGATGGCAAAGTTTGAGAAGCCCTTTTGTAAGGTTCAGGAAAAAACCCTCTCTCAATAACACTGTAGAGCTCACTGGAAACACTTCTGCAACCTCTGTTCCAAGCTAATAATAAATCAATCTTCCTAAGTTCTTGATACGAGAGCTCCCTATCTGGTGTTGTAAAGATATAAGAAGAAAATGTTTATATAGTTTTTGAAATCTTGTGCCATTGAGGTCTTCCCATACCAGATTTGAAATGATATTGGTGTGTGTGTTTTCTTCGTTTTATAATTATCTCAAGTTATCAATGATATCGGCTGCTTCATGCATTATAATAGCAGACATTTTTTCATTGTTTCAGCTTTATCTATGGAACTAAGCTACTTGTATGAATGTTTATGTGGGAAAATAATTTTACTGAATATAATCATAAAAAGAAGGCATATCAATGCATGGAGCTTTTATTTTTTATATGAAGATTGAGAAACTGTTGATGCGTGCAATTTTCTTTAAATACTGCTTCCAGTTCGTAGTTCTTATAGGTAGGGGTGTCAATTTCGGGTCATGGGTTAGGTTCAGGTTGAATCCGGAATTGACTGGGCATTATTCGGATTAACCCAAACCTGACCTGTTTTTGCAAACGGATTGATTTTTTCGAACCCAAACATGGCCAATTTTTGGTATGGGTCAACTAAACATTACCTGAAAGACTCGGGGCTGAACAAAGTTTGTCAGTTTTTGGGTTAAAAAATGGGTCAATCTCTGATTTTATGGTATAAAATTGGTCAATATCGAATTTTCGTGTCAAAATGAGTCAATTTTGAGTTTTCATATCAATCCAAACTTGACCCGATTTTTGAAATGGGTCAATTTGTTGAAACCGAATTCGACTCATTTTGAGTCTGGGTTGACCCTAACCTAAAATTTTTGGGTTGGGTTTCTGGGCCGTGTCAAATATTGTTGCATGGTTGTTTTATGGTATTATGGAGCTCAAATGATGCTATTTAAAATTTGAGAGATTATTACCTACAGTGTATGGATGCCATGTAGGCCTTTTTTTTTTTTAAATTCTCTCTAGTACAATAGAAAGAAGTCACATAACAATTAAGTAAAGTAATTTTCATGTTATTAATTACTTAAATGCAATGAAAATTATTGACTTGATTTATATTATTATCAAGATTTCAAGATAAGATGACATGCTATGGTGATATGATAATTCCAAAACAATTTCTAAAAAGATATAAGTTTTTTTACAAGATTTGATAGTGGCTTCGATTAAATTATTGTTTAAATCTTAAGCAAAAAAATATATATCATTAATAAATGAGATTTTTTTTCTCTCATACGAGCCAAAAAAGAAGAAAAAAAAAAAGAAGATTATAATGCCTGGCTTTTTGGTTGCACAAACCTTTGTTATAATAACCATTGCACCCTAAGATAGAGGACTTATTGTTACAAACTCTTTATGTAAAGTTTAATCGCTTAATTAAAATTTTAAATCCATCATGTATAAAAGAGCAAATATATTAGCAAGTATAAAAAAAGCACCTCCCTCTCCCGATGGTTCTCTCTCTCTCTCTCTGGGGTGTGCTAGGGCTTCGCCCTAGCCGCCCCTTGCGGCCTCTTCTTCGCCTCTCTCGATGGGCGCTGCTCATCGTGTGCTTCAGGGAAGTTCCTTCTTCCTCTTCTTCTTCTTGTTTTCATTTTCTATCGTTTGCGGTCTGTTTGGTTTTATGGCGAAAATCCTGTCTCTTGCCGCTCCTTTTGAATTTGCCATTGTGAGAAAATTCCCTGGCCGAAGGCCTTCTCTTGATGCTATTAGGAATTTCTTCTTCAACCTCAAGCTCAATGGCGATTATTCTGTTATTGTTCTTACCAACATAATGTGTTGACTAAACTCTTTAACAATTTAGGTTACTATAGGATTTTTGCTTATAAGTCTTATTTTGTGAGTAATTGCTATATGAAATTGATTAAATGGACTCCTACTTTGGACATTGAGGTTGAATCGCATGTTATCATAATTTGGATATCTTTCCCTAATCTTCGGCCTCATCTGTTTGCCTCGAGTATTCTTCATGGCTTATGCTCTATGTTTGGTAAACCCTTAAAGATTGATAATGAGACCTCCTCGGGTTCACGTCCTTCTGTTGCTCGCATTTTGGTTGAACTGGATGTGACCAAACATTATCCTGATAAAATTTGGATTGGCTCAGATAACATAGGATATGTACAATCTGTGGTTCTGGAAGATTTCCCTGAGTATTGTTCGACTGTTTCTCTTTAGCACATTCGAAGGCTGAATGTAGTATTTTGCACCCTCGCCTTGACTCTTTTGCTTTGCCTCCGTCTACTCTTATAGTTAATAATATGATGGGTGAGGGTGGGGAAGTTGCTCATGTGCTTCCTGGCACTGTGGTGGTTCCGTCTGACCCTGTGGTTGTGGCTCCTGATGGCATTGTCTGTGAGGATTCTACTGTGCATGATTTAGCTGTGAATTTGGATGTTGGATTACCCGTGCCTTCTAATTCTCCTGTTACTCCTGTTGTTGTTTCTCTTGTTTTGCCTTCTATGGGAGGGTCTCATGTTATTTTGGTATATTCGGTTACTGTGCTGGATTTCCATATCCAAGCTGTTAATGTTGGGTTGGTTCAGTCTTCTCCGGATCTTTCCCCTGCAGCTCATGCCCCTGCTGTTGTAGTTTTTTCTAGTTTCTCCTATTGTTAATGGGGAATTGGTGGTTTATGGTGCCATGGATGCTGTTGTTTCTCCAAGTGTGGCTCCTGCCCTTGTGGCAATATATGATATTAATTGTTGCATGAATCTTAGTGATAGTCCTAGTTATGCAGATGATGCGGATTTATCTGTTCATAAGTCTGCCTCTTTAGTTGATAGTGGTGAAGAAGCTTTGGGTATTGTTGGGGAGGCAGGTGTTGAGGTGCCTCTAGTGAATGTGTCTATTTTTGTCATTCCAAATGCTAATTTATTCACCCATCTTGCTAGAGATTTTGTTCGGTGGCAATGTGATTGGTTGCATGATGACATATCGTTGCTAGTGGGGATGATTTTATTAATACCAACCTCGAAACGAGCTTGCTCGATAAGTTTGTTTCACAACGTAAAAGGAAATTCAAGAAGAAATGATTTTCTTCTTTTGGAAGCTTTTTGTATGTGCCATTTGTTTTTATTCCGCTCTTCGTTGCTTTGGTTGTGATGTTGGGTTGGAATCGGATTGGCCGATGAGGAAGCAGTTATGCTACATGCGCCTTGGATGGCCAAGGTTGGTTGGCAACCTGGGTGGCTCGTTTTGGTGTTCTTGGCTGCTTCTCGGTTTGGATTTCATTGTCTTCCATGGATGGCCCCTCCCTGGCAATTCGGTGACAGTCTGAGTCTAATTTTTTTTTTTTCGATTTTCTCAATCTAACTATCAGTTTGTTTTGCTACTGCTGCCTATTATTTTTCTTCGATTGTAATTTTATTGATGTGGTCCCATTGTGGTATTGTACTGTATCAATTTCGTTTAATTGAATTTTTTAATTTGCTTTAAAAAAAACTCTTTATGTAAAGAAGCATAAAAGTCCTCTTCTAAAAATATTTTGTGATGCAATTAATATAAAAAGAAAGGGCACATATAAAAATGCTCGAAACTTCACAAAAACCCTCAAGCTATGATGGAAATAAATGTTATCAACAAAGGCATGCCTACCTTATATAATTAGAAGGGCTTAATTCAAAAGCAATTGATAAATTCAAGAAATTTCATAACTTTCTAAAAAAAATATCTATCATATTCTTTAGCTCAAAATAGTATGATTTCTAACTCTTATATTTTAAGTGTTTTAAAAATTTCTCTCACACCTGAATCATAGATTCAAGAGCTATTAACAACATGATCAACCTTACCATCTTCTTTCAAACCTATAAATCTTTATCTAATAATAAAAAATAAAAAATGGTTGATGATTCTTTATATACTGTTGTATGTTAAGAAAATATTTTAATTTTCTCCATATTTACCCATAGTAATATAATGTATGTTTCTTATATTGCTATAAATTTTTTATCATAATTGCAAGATGACCTATTTTGCTAATCATTGTTTATTGTTTAGGGACCCACAATTAGGAAGATGATTGGGCAAGCTAGAGAAAATGATGGGTTATATCTTCTTGAAGATGGAAACTTATTGTTATGTTCATCACAAAAGATAAAAACTAGAGAATCCATTTTTCAAAACTGTATAAAATATCCATCCTTCTCTTTTTTATTTTGTATAAATATAAATATTAAGAAAAATTATTATAATACTTATTAAATTGTCAAATATTATCATGTTATTTTTCTTAAAAGTGATTCTATTATCTAGATCTTCTGCTCATTTTCTAATATTTCATTCTAACATTTGGGAACATTCCAAAATCCCCAGCATTTTTGAAATTATAGTATTTATTACATTCATTGATGATTACACTTGAATGACATGAGTATGACTTATAAAATTAAAATTTGATGTCGGCATTAATTTTCTCGTATTTATTGTTTAGATACAACAAATAATTTAATGCGTAAATCAATGTATATAATGCTTGTGATTATTTTAATAACACGTTATCATATTTCTTCTAAAAATAAGAGATCATCTGCCAATCATCCTATTTTGATATTCACCAACAAAATAGAGTTGCAAAAAGAAAAAAATTTCATATTCTAAGAGTTACCAGGACTATTCTCTTCTAGAGTCAAATGACAAAAATATATTGGGGAGAAGTTATTCGAACTGTCATGTATCCAATCAATAGAACACCATCAAGAGTGGTTGGTTTAAAAAGTCTTATAAGCTATCGACTGAATTCTTCTCTGTAAATAACTTCCTCTAAAAATTTGGTGATTTATTTCATATGTCCACATGCATATATAACATGGGGTTAAACTTGATCATAGTGCTTTCAAATGTGTCTTTATTGAGTAATCCTTCACTTAGAAAGGTTATAAGTGTAATCATCCTACCTAAAATTTTTTACTTTAAAGATTGTCACTTTTGATGAAAAACAAAATTTTGTCAATCAAACTCATCTTCAAGGGGAGAACATCAGCCAAAACATTCAGCAAGCTCAAAATTCAAAATCGTTATCAAGTAAGAATCACATTCTCCTATGTATCCCATTTCTTTGTAAACATTTTTTTTTCAAAAATTTTCTTCTACCCATAAAGACCTCTATACAAAATCAGCTCTAATTCCATCGCAATACCTTAAGCTCTATTTGAGGTACTTGAAAAAATAATTGGAAGGATGTCACGAGAGAGATGAATGCTTTAAAAAAAAAAAAATCACTTGCAAGGTCATTGTACTATCAAAATGGAAGAAAATAGTATGATAAAAATGATATTTTTTTTTAAACAAGAGAAACATAAAGTTAAGTGTTGCAGAGATGAGGATGCTAAGGTGGATGAGTGGCTTCACTCTTAGAGACAATGAGAAATGAGTATGTACGTGAAAGGGGTAGAGTAGCTTTATATAGTGGCAAATAAGATTAGACAAAGTCACCTTATATGATTTGAACACATAAAGCACCAGCTTTTCGATGACCCAATTAAGAGAATAGATTAGATTTGGCCCATGTTAAGAAAAGTATCGGTAGACCTAAAAACATTTGGCTAGAAAATATTAAAAATGATTTTTTTTTATTAAATTTAAATGAATTTGACTCTTAGTTGGATGAAATAGAGAAAAAAAAATGTTCATGTAGCCGACCCCATGTAGTGGAATGAAAGTTTATTGTTGTTGTTGATGTAAAATAAAGAGCAAATGGAAGCCTAAAATCGTATAAAGCAAGTTTGGTATCCAAATGATACACTCAAGCTTAAAGAATTAACTACGAAGAAATTATTGCTCTTATTGCAAAGATGAATATAATATAACAACAACAACAATTATAACATCAAGCCTTTATCGCACTACGTGGGTCAACTACATGAATCATTTTTCCTCTATTTTATCCTGTTAAGAGTCAAATTCTCATTTAAATCTAATAAAGAAACGTCATTTCTATCTATAACCAAGTCTTTTTAAGTCTACCTTTATCTTTCTTCACATAAGCCAAATCTAATACATCTACTTTCCTAACCTAGTCATAAGAATGCCACTGTTTTATGTGACCAAATCATTTAAGGCGACTCACTCTAATCTTATCTTCCGTTGGAGCTACTAAAACATTTTCACATATGTACTAATTTCACATCTTATCTCTAAGAGTATATCCACTCATCCACCTGAGCATCCTCAACTTTGCGACACTTAACTAAATATTATGCTTCTATTTTAATGGCCAACATTCTGCACCTTAAAGCATTACATGTCTCACCACCATCATATTTAATTTTTCCTTAAGTTTGAGGGAGACTTTTCTATCATACTACAAGCCTGATGCATTCATTCACTTCAACCATCCAACTTTGCTAATAATATCCCCATCTATTTTACCATCACTCTTAACAATAAACTCATGATATCTAAAATGTGTACTCTTCTTAATGACTTGATCACCCAAAGTCACAATCCCCTCACTAATTCTATTACTATTAAAATTACATTTCATATATTCAATTTTAGATCTACTAAAATGAAAACCTTTAGACTTTATGGTAAACCTATATAATTCAAGTTTACCTTCAACTCCATCTCTAATCTTATCAACAAGAAGAATATCATCAGCAAAAAACATACACCAAGGTACAATCTCTTACAAATGTTTAGTGCAAACATCCATGACTAAAGTAAAAAGATATGGGCATAAGACTGATCTTTGATGTAATCCAACAAAAATTGGAAAATACTTAGTCAAACCACCTTGTGCTTGAACACAAGTAACTGCTCCTGGTTACATATCCTTAATAACTTGAATATAAGTATTATTAACCTCTTTCTTTTCTAAAACTCTAAATAGCATTTCTCTTGAAACTTTATCATATGCTACCTTAAATCAATAAATATCATATGAAGATCCTCCTTATCAAGGGCGAATCCAACTTCTTTTTTTAGAGTCGGTAAAATTTGAATTAATTAGACAACAACAACAATAATAACAAAAATAAAAGAATAATAATAATAATAATAATAATAATAATAATAAAATATATTAAAAAAAATATTAATCACATAATGCTATCAAATTTATAAGAGAAAATCTTTATCATTTATCTTTCAATTTAATATTGATTTTAGTAATAATATAAGTTAAAGTATATTCATATACTTTATGCTGAAACTAGACCCTAAGTTAAAGAAAAAGAATAATAAATGAGCTTAATGTTATCTAACTTAAAAAAGGTAGTTAAATCATAAAGTATGCATAATATTTAATGGATTTAAGAATCACTCCCTCACAAATCATAAATCAATAAAAAATAACTAAAAAAATAGCTATCTCAAACTTCAATGCAATAAAAAAAGATTTATTTGGATAGAAAATACTTCAGACTTAAATGGATTTCAATGCAATGTAATCAGTCAAACAACTAAATATAATATGTTTTTTTTTTTAGCCAATCATGGCTGGTCTATACAACAGTGTAATGAAAGGAATACTTTCTTGCATGTGGATGTTGAAGAAGTCTTTATGGAGCCACCTCACTCATTTGATTCTTCTTTTACAAAGAATAAAATATGTAAATTGAAAAAGATTATATGGCCTTAAATAATATCCTCTTCATAAAATACTCCATTAATGAAAAAATCTCAATTTTTTTTTTTGAGACATTCAGACCATTTAAGACAAACTCATACACACAACGCATACATAAAGACTCAAACATATGACCTCTTAGTTGGAAGTCTAAGCTCTCAACCAATAGGTCAAAGTGAGCTGTGTAAAAAAAAAAAAAATCTCAATTCTTATTATATGTGTTGATGATATAATTGTAACAAGTGATGATAACGGTAAAAAATACTGAAGAATTTAAGATGGAGCTGGGCAAACTTAAATATTTATTAGGAATATAAGTTGCTAATCGCCTAATCGGAGTAAGAAATATTTCATTTGGTTTAGTTAAGGTTTCAGTGTTGAATATGAATTTAGAGCTATTACAGAAGAAATATATTAGTTTCTGTACATCAAAATTGCTTTGGAGGATTGAAAAATCAAATGAAAATGACCAATGAAATTATACTGTGATAATAAATATGCCATCAATATTACTCTTAATTTAATGCATCATGACCATACAAAGCATGTGTAGGTGATTGCACATTTCATAAAAGATAGCTAATTTATACTCCATAAGTGCCAACAAAAATTAACATAATTATATTCTCACAAAAAAATTTATAATACACCATGTTCCAAAGCAAATTAGAATGAGAGATTTATACCATTTAATTTAATTTAAGAGGGAGAGTTGAAGTAGGGCTGCAAGCTAACCAAGCGTTCGACGAGCTACTCGATGCTCGGTTCGATTAAAGCTCCTTTGTAATCGTTTAACTAACTAAACAAACAAACTTGAACAACATTTAAATACTCGATCCTTAAATAAACAAGCTTGAACACTAATTTGTTCGGATCATTTATGTTCACGAACAACATCATTTGAAGTTCATGAACAAGCTAGGCATTAAGCTCGATTGGAGAGAAATGCAACAGGTAAACTTCATTTAAGAATATATTCATATAGATTAATAATAATTTCATTTTAAGTAGACAACTGCTTTTATTATAAATTTAATTTTTTGAACAAAAGATATTTCACATTTGTCCATGTTTGCTAAATTTTTTATTTAAGATGTTCATGAACCAATTTAATTTTTATTTGTTCAATAGATTGTTTGTTAAATATGTTCATGAACATAGCTCGTTAAAACTTGTTTGTTTAAAACTCGATAAAACCGAAGATGAACCAAACATGAACACCCTTAAATTAAACGAACCAAACATGAACACAAACAATAAAACTAGAATCAAACACGAACAGAACTTGAACAAGCTAATGATAAATGAACTCAAATATGAACACTCACATACTCGGCTCGGCTCGGTACGTTTGCAGCCCTAAGTTGAAGGATAGATTGGACATCCAAGTCAACCAAAATTATTAAGAATTCTTAAGCACATAAAAAAATAGTTATATTTGATCAATTCTCTTATGACTCTTAAATTACAATTTATAAACCATCGACCACTCTTCCGGAATTTTTAATTTGCCTTTTTGAAAAATATTTTTAATTTATTTTCATTATAAGCATTTCAAAAAAGCATATAAATACTCACACTTAATATATTTTTTTACTTTTCTACTTTCGTATAACATCTATTTAGTTTAAATACAGCTATATAAAACTTTAGATTTTAAAATTAAAATTTTCATTTTATACATAGCTACATTAAAAAAAAAAAAACTTCTCAAATTGGAATAATAATAAAGAACTTTAGGTGTTGTACAAATATAAGAATAGAATGGGCATTTAAACTAAAATGAGGGGGTGGCAGTGAGAAGTTCAAAATTTCATGCCTCTGCTCCATTTTGATGAGGAACCCTAAACCTTAAAACAGGGCACAAGTGTTGTTGTAGATATTACACCTCACCAGCAAAGTTGATTTCTTGCTTCATCTTTCAATAAAAATAAAAGCTTCTCATATAGCTATGATGTGAGATCATACTCAAATAACATATTCCTATGTTTTTGTACTTTGTATCCTCCACAAGCACTCCTTCCTTAGAGGGGAATCAGTAAACACTGCTCTGATGAAGTTTTCTACCTGCATAAGGTTTAAAAGCCTCAGGTCTCAGATTTCAACAGCATTGTCAAACTAAAGATACTGAAAGAAACTGATATTACCTCCGAGGACGTGAAGCCACAATTGGCAAGCTCTCCACTTTCCCAAATTGTTGTGATTGATTTCAACGGCATATCAAACAAGTCTGGCATGAAATATATAACGTTTGCGATGATTCAATTAGTATTAAAGCTTTCAGTGGATAAAAATCAGCAGAAGAGAGCATACCAGCAAGTCTCCGGAGCTTGGATAAGGATGGTAGTAGTTCATCTAGCAATGATGGTGAAATCTCCTTAATAAGCTTGTCCTTTTCACTGATTTCAGTGATGACAGATTGAAACAAGGGCGATAGTTTCTCCAATGCCATATGAATAAGTCGCTGGAGCTGAAAATTACAGAAAATAATTCAGTAGGGCATTATTACATGACAAAATGAAACAAAAAACAGTAGCATATCAGAAGAACCTGCAGTGTCTCCTCAGCAGCCATGTCATCTAAAAGCAGCAAATCTTTCGTAATTCTGGAGAAGAAAGAATTCAAGATTAGGCACATGCTTCTCTTGTAAGTTGAGGCTGCCATCAGTGGTTCCCAAATGACACGTACTTTTCCCAAAATAAAAACAACCTAAAAATGAAACATAATTATCGAAACTTTAGAATACAAACATATGGGTTGATATCTAAGTCACCGTATGAGTAGAATAAATGCTAAGGAACTCATAATAAATTTTAACCATTGAAACTTTATGATATCTTAAAGAGCAAAGCCCCCACGTATTTCAACAAATTGTCATATAACAAATTTCGGATTAAAATAAATCAATGTACCAGAAATGTGTGAATTAGCATTAGTCCTGAAGTAAAGCATGATCTTGAATTAGTACATATTGAATAAGGATTTTAGGAGGATATGATGGGGCACATGCCCCACTAATTTTTTATTATGGCTGCATAAATATAATAAATGTATATTAATAAGTCACGGCGATTTGATATTTCGAACTGTAAATTTTAATATGTGCCACCTCCAAATAATAAAATTAGTTTAGGATTTCAACATCCTGCATATTTTTTTTAGCAAGGATCATGCCCACCTCAACATAAGCAACCGTCGATCTTTCTTGGTAAATCTACACTCATTTCTCCAAAGATGAGAATTTTGAGCCAACGAATCCATTTAAATGCTTCAAGTCTCGCCCAAAATTGAGGAATTAACTTCCATATATCCTAACATTTAGGGAAATGGGGGTAATGACCGGAATCTACGTACAAATTTGTCGGTCTCAGTTCCTCCTACTTTAAGCCTGGCTTGTTGATAGGAAATACTTGAGTTCGCAAGTAATCCTAACGGATTTGCATGAGTTTGCAAGCAATCATAACAATAATTGGTTCAAAACAGCGAAAAGAAACAAGAAATTTGGACAAATCAATCTAAAAATGATAGATTGCGATAGTAGAAACAAACCAAAGCAAAACTCAAAGTAAGATACAACTGATCCTCAATTCGAGATGAGGATCGTCTCTCCCAATCTCTAGATTATAGATCTAGAGCCCAAGACACCAAGTAACTCTCCAAAAGAACAAACAATACAAGCATGTCCTAACCCTAGCCTCTCATCTTCTTTAAATACATCCTTTCTAATTAAAAGCTTTCTAAAATAATTTTATTTCAAATTGCTCTATTGCATGAACCGCCCCGCTTCTCTCTCTCTAGTTGCCGCCCAAGGAGGTGGGACCCACCCACTTAAGCTATAGGTTTAAGAGGTGGTGGCTTAGTCTGCCTCATGTATGTCCGAACTGGCCCCTCCTGGGTCGGTTTAAGCTAGCTCGTAACAATACTCCCTTCCCAAAGAACCGCCTTGTCCTCAAGGTGGAAATGGGGAAACTGATGTTTTACCCTCTCATAAGATTCCCACGTGGCATCATATTTCGGAAGGTTTTTCCACTTGATTAGCACTTCTTTAGCTTCGTCTCCTTTCTAGCGAACCCCCATCAACTCTAAAGGTCCCAGAATAACCTCTAAATCCTCTGTGAGTGTCACCGATAACTCTGGGCTAGCTGCATAATCTCCAATGGCTTTTCTCAGCTGGGATACATGGAAAACCGGACGTATAGTTACCGTTTGTGGTAATTTCAGGCGGTATGCTACCGCTCCTATTTTCTCCAATACCTCGTAAGGTCCAAAGTACCTAGGGCCCAGCTTCTTATTCCTCCTATTGGCGACTGTCTTCTTCCTATACAGTCGGAGCTTCAAGAACACCCTCTGCCCCACTTCAAACTGGATATCCTTCCTATACCGATCAGCTTGTTTCTTCATAATCTATTGAGCTCTCAGTAGATGTCTCTTCAACTCTTCTAGCACTCGATCCCTCTCCTCTAAGTGCTCCTCTACTGAAAAAACTGGAGTACTGCTACTCCCAAAGTGCACCAAGTGGGGAGGATCCCGTCCGTACAACACCTTGAAGGGGTCATCTGTGACGCTGAATGAAAAGAGGTGTTGTACCAGTACTCAATCCATGATAGCCACTTAGCCCATAGCTTGGGTGTCTCTGACACAAAGCATCTCAGGTAAGTCTTCATGATCCTATTGACTACTTCTGTTTGGCCATCCGTCTGTGGGTGGTAAGCTGTGCTCTTTTTCAGAACTATTCCCTGTAATATGAATAACTCCCTCCAAAAATGGTTGAGGAACACCTTATCTCTATATGATACCATCGCCTCTGCTACTCCATGTAATCTGGCCACCTCTCTGATGAAAGCTGAAGCAACTGTCACTGCTGTGTAGGGGTGTCGGAGGGGGATGAAATGTGCATACTTGCTCAGCCTGTCCATCACCACTAAAGTCACCGTGAAACCTTCTGAACGGGGCAACCCATCTAAGAAGTCCATGGATATCTCCTCTCATACTCGTCCTGGTATAGCCAATGGCTGTAGTAGTCCTGGTGACATGGCTAGGTATTTGTTCCTTTGACAGATTTCACATCTAGACACCATCTCTTTTATGTCTTTATGCATCCCCTTCCAATAAAGCTCTGAAGCTAGCCTTCTATATGTCTTCTGCACTCCTGAATGGCCCCCCACCGCGCTCCCACGAAACTCCTGGAGTAAGTTTGGGATGTAGATCGAAGACTGGGGCATCACAAACCTCCCCTGATATAGCAATATACCCCCCTCCAATGAGTACCCTAGGTGGCTACCCTCTTCCTTAAGTAAATCTACCATGATTTTTCCCAAATCCTCATCCCTAACACTTTCCTCTCTGATAGGCTCCCAATCAAGCATTAAAAAAATATATAGTGCCACTGTCTGTAGCTTTACCATACATCTGGACAAGGCATCTACCACCTTGTTCTCTACTCCTGGCCTATATTGAATCTTAAAATTATACCCCAACAACTTGGACAACCATCTTTGATGCTCCTCTGTTACCATCCGCTGTTCCAACAGGTATTTCAAGCTCTGTTGATCTGTCATGACAATGAAATGCTTCCCAAGTATGTAGGGCCGCCACTTCTGGATGGCCAACACGATGGCCATTAATTTTCTCTCATAGACAGACTTTGGCCTGGCTTTAGCAGTCAAAACCTAGCTGAAATAAGCAATGGGCGTATGGCTCTGCATAAGCACTGCACCCAATACGTAAACAGACGCATCAATCTCCACTATGAAGATCTGAGTGAAATTTGGCAACGCTAGGACCGGCACCGTCGTCATAGCCTTCTCCAAGCTCTCAAATGCTGATGTGGCCGCCTCCCCCCATAGAAACCCATCCTTCAACTGCTCAGTGAGTGGCCATGCTATGGTGTTGTACCCCTTTATAAACCTTCTGTAGTAACCTGTCAGTCCAAAGAATCCCCTCAGCTTCTTCAGATTTTTAGGCACTGTCCACTTTAGCATTGTCTAAATTTTAGATTGATCTGCAGTCACCCCTTCTTTTGATACAACATGGCCCAAGTACGCTACATTGGCTTGTGCGAAGCAACACTTCTTCAAGTTGGCTCTCAGATGGTGCTCCTGCAGCAACTCTAACACCCTTTTTAAATGCTCCCAGTGCTCCTTTGTCCTGCTATAGACTAGGATGTCATCAAAGAATACTAACACAAATCATCTGAGATAAGGTTTGAAAATCTTATTCATAAGTGCCTAAAAAGTAGCAGGAGCATTGATGAGGCCAAAAGGCATCACCATGAACTCATAGTATCCCTCATGAGTTCTAAAGACCGTCTTGAGTACATCCTCCTTCTTCATCCGGATCTGATGGTATCCTGATTTTAAGTCTATCTTGTTGAAGATCACTGTTCCACTCAATTCATCTAACAGCTCGTCAATGACTGGTATAGGAAACCTGTTAGGTACAGTTTCCTTGTTGAGTGCTTTGTAGTCTACACAAAAACGCCATCTGCCATCCTTCTTCTTCACCAATAGAACTGGACTAGAGAAGGGACTGATGCTGGGTCTGATTATTTTTGCCTCCAACATCTCACTGATCAACTTTTCGATTTCATCTTTCTGGAATTGAGGGTAGCGATAAGGCCGTACACTGATGGGTGACACTCCCTCCCTCAACACGATGGTGTGCTCCTGCTCCCTCTGCGGTGGCAATTCCTGAGGTGGCCGAAACAACTCTTGGAACTGCTGAATCAACAACTGTATAGAGAGGGTATACCCCCTCCCTCTCCCGATCTAGCTCCCTCCAAACTGTGTAGCTCCACCAGATATCCTCCGCCTATAACTATATATCTCTCACCATAGTTTTAAGAGAAATCATGGATTTGGATAGCCCTGCATCTCCCTTAATCACCACCTTCCTTCCATCTACCATCAACTCCATCGTGAGTGCTCCCCAATTCACTTTGGTGTCTCCCAAAGTCTGCAGTCATTTCATCCCCAGGATGACATCTTTACTCCCAAGCTCCAGTGGAAGAAAAAATTCCCTCACCTGAATCCCCTAGATAGTAAGTAGACTCTGCAAATCCCTGGCCTTTCTCCACCTTCCCTGTACCCATCATCACACCGTAAAAATCAGTATCCACCAATCTCACTCTCATTTAATTGACAACCTGAGTGGAAATGAAATTATGCGTAGTCCCACTATCAATCAACACCACCACCTCCCTATCCTATATCTCCCCTTCACTTTCATGGCATGATTCGTAATGAATCCTATCACTGAGTTCAAGAAAATCTCAGCCATATCCAAATGAAACTTCTCCTCCATCTCCTCCTCTATCTCCTCCTCACCTCCCTCCTCAGTTTTCTAGTCACAGACGGTGAAAACCTAAAAAGTTCGGTCCTTGCACCGATGCCCTGGCGTATACTTTTTATAGCACTTGAAGCACAACCCTTTAGCCCTCTTCTCCTGCATCTCTTTTTCTGTCTGCCACTTGAAATTTCCCCCACTTCCTCCTCTTGTCTTCTCCTTGGTTATAATACCCAAAATTTTGGTCCAAAAAGGTAAACATACAAATTTCCCCTATATAGAAAGTATCAAAAATATTTTCATCAAATTTGATATTGAATTTCAAGTAATTTTGGTATCAATATATCTTAAATGTCTATGAATATGTATCTTTTAAATAACTGTTTAGTATTATAGTTAATATTATAGTTAATGAATAACAATTA